ATATATATATACGTGTACACACACACACACATACACACACACACACATATATATATATTTATATATGTAAAATTCTATTCTGGTACATGAATGCATATATGAATAGCATGCATTTTTAATTTGCGTAGAGATACACACGTGTCTTTATGTTGATGTTTATTGTTTTTTTTCAAAATTTACAGGCACACGAGTTATGTGCTCTAAGTTTACTATTTTGATCGAAGTATTATTTCTTTGCTATCCAGCTATATAAACGTGCTATGGGAATCCTTCAGTTACCGTGCGTATCAGGTTATTCAACATTAAATGAGAAAAACAGATAATTATCGTAAGTACGCAAATGATTTCGTCTACTCATGCACTGTATGAAAAGTCCATACAAATTTTTCGTCGAACTCACTATCAGGCTCAGCCGTTGGGCAAAATCGCAGGCCGAATTTGCGGTTGTGTTTGGAGCTCTCCGGATCACTATACACACAGTATTCGGAAACATCGTCTCGCTCCACGTGTTGCTTGATGGTGAAACCTCCCTTATAGCTATCGAGCGCAAAGTATTGGTAGTCGTGAGTTGCATTGCACGCGAACGTACCGAATTCTATCCCCGTCGTGAAGTCAAGACATACACCTACCTCTCCATCTGCACCAGATTCATCAACTTCCGTGTTATTGAAATCATCTGATGTATCTAGCCGTATACCAAATAATGTGCTTTCTTCCGGTTCGATGATCCAATACTGGTGACCTGCTGTTCCATCACAGGCGGTTGTAGACATACCACCTCTCAAAGCCGTGGAGTCATTGGCGGTCATACAATAACCCAGTATATTTCGAATCTCTATGCGTCGATTGACTGGTATCGCCGATTCAGCTACCGCTAGTGTGGCGACAAAGCAGGCTGTGAGAATTAGAAAGATCTTAGACATCTTTCCTGTGCGTGCGCACTGACAGACTGAACCGAATATACATACTGACTGCTTCATTATATGCGGGATTCTGTCCATATAATGCGCAAGCCGATCCCATTCGCAAAATAATTTATTTATGAGAACAGTGAACCAAAAATTGAAAAGCATGTACACAACTAGTCATCAGTCAACTACACATATTGATATGTACGAAAAGTGCTTTCCTCAAACGAGACCAATTGATTGGTGTTCAATTTATGCAATATGATGACAATCTCTCCATATATTTATTTACTCCCCTCTCAATACCAATACATACTTACATATGTATAATTATTGATTACATACATATGTAGATTGTAGACAGCAACCAATCCTATGGGTCATACGCCATATGGGACAAATGGACGCCATATGGGACAAATGGACGCCATATGGGACAAATGGACGCCATATGGGACAAATGGACGCCATATGGGACAAATGGACGCCATATGGGGCACCATTTGTTTTTTTTGTCAACATTTATTGCAATAGAGGCCTATTCCTTAGGCCTATGTAAATAGCTGTAGATTTGTAGAGGGTGGGCCGTGGGACGACATACCGTCATAGATCCATTTCATTTCTAAAAAAAACCGAAAATTCCACAACGAAATCCCATTTGTAAATATGTAGTCTACTTCTGAGTTGAACATCAGAAGGCTATGGAAATCCAGCGTAGTACATGTACATATTGTAAAAATTTATGTATATGTCGGGAGGTGACGAGGTGAGTCGGGCGAGGAAGATGAATCTGGAATTACCGATATCTTGCCACTTTTCGGTGCTCGTAGGTTGCTAATGTATGCACTATGTACAGGACATATTTTTTCTAGGGACCACTTGGCAGGGTCTTTCTGATAAATATTATGCTCTTTTAGTACACGGGTTTGATTCGAAAGTGGTTGAATTCCAAGTTCATGTATAAATATATATACCCCTTGCGGCAAGCATGTATCACGCGTGCACACAATTGACAGTTTCCGGTCGAGAAAGACACGACATATTATTCACACTAATATTTTAGTGTGATATCATACCCATCAGGATTATTTTAGGTAGATGAGTGAATGAAGTTCTGCTCACAGCAATATTACAATACCCGAAAGACGGAAAATTCGTCACAACCTCTCGCTGCACAACATTTTAAAACAATAGTAAATTTCGGTCCGGAAACGATGCCAAATTCATGTTTCTTTTAGAGAGTTGATTGCAAAGGTGATATTAAACGAATTTTGAGATGTAGATCTACTACGGATGTTCAAATACCTCGATTTAGAATAACATTTAGCACGGAGGCACATGGACGATCGCCACACAAGTTGTATAGATAGCAGGACGTTGATGGAGTCAAAGATAGGCAAATAATACTAGATACTTACTGCGATATGGTATATATCTTCCATGTAATATGCGGCTAGATTACTGTGACACAGATGGATATCAGCCTATGGTGCAGAGAAAAACAGACAATTCCATGCTTGAATTATTCCGACCCATTGCTATCCCCTCCTCTATGAGATTTACATTTTTTTTGCCTGCTGGTAATCACTATCAGTAGTAGTCTATTGCTACAAGTAACAACTAGAAACATCCTCTGGTAACAGAAATTGAAATTGTCTTACCCAGTTGACCAATGCAGTAAATATTTACTACTAGACCTAGCGCAAGGCAGGCATCCGCATAAGTGTAGAAAAAAAAAGAGGGCATACATACCTAAATACCTGTGGCAGCTATTTCCCAGTCCCGACTTCCAGACAGTCATGACCGTTGCTACAATGCTATCAAGCCATAAAATAGACCCAAAAACCCTAAATTCACGATGACTAATTGTGGCAAATAACAAAGCCAAATTTGTCTTTAACGTTTACGTTGGTTTGTTCCCATATATTGGATGAGGTTGCAATATCTGGGGTTGGAGGTGCAATATATAAGAGCTATGTTTTTTTGTAGGTTGGGCCCTTGCTTCTTCACTACGTCATAGCGTTGCAATATCAAAACTTTATGCGTTTACGTTCAACGTATACGCTATTCTACCATAGAACGCGATGAGGTTTGCACGGCACCAGGCGTGGCTGTGGTGTTTGCGTTTTTAGTTAAATAAATATTGTAAACAACAGCAACAAAGCACATTTGCGTTTTCACCGTTTATAACATGTTGCTAACCTTATGCTTGGATATAGAACGACGTACCTTTTGGTGATAGTGAACTGTCCTACTTGAGTCTGGGCTTCAGTTAACAGAAATTCACTGTGCTAAGTGAGAGCCCGAAGGTGTGCAAGCGGCTGATTGTACATGGCAAAGTGGTGAGCATACATACAGTGATTTTCTTTATAGAGGCTGATATTCGATAGTCAGCTGATATGAGTGGCGCAACAAGGGGTGACCCTAACACGAACACTGAGACCAGTGAGTCCGCTCCTGACAGCAAAACTACTCAGCCAAGTACTCACGACAGCGATGCTGTTCAACCAAAGCCCGCACAGGAAAGCGATAAAGAGATTGACGGTAGTAATGGTGACAAGGTGGTGCCTGATTCCGTTGAGAAAATGACTGACGGTAATAGTGGTGACAAGGAGGTGACTGAACCCGTTGAGAAAGGGACTGACCGTAGTAGTGGTGGCAAGGAGGTGACTGAATCCGTTGAGAAAGGGGCTGACGGTAGTAGTGTTGACAAGGAGGTGACTGAAACCGTTGAGAAAGAGACTGACGGTAGTAGTGATGACAAGGAGGTGACTGAACCCGATGAGAAAGGCACTGACAAAAGCGACGATACGCCTGTAGATAAGAAAGAAAGCGATAGTAGTGACAGTATTGCGAAGACGGAATCTGTCGTTAGCTCTAATGCGGAGAAATCCGATAGCGTAAAACCATCAGACAGTACAGGCGGAAAAATAGCAGATAACGAAGGAACTAGCGATGCACGAGTGGAAACCATAGCAACGCGATACGCAGATTTGGTCGCGAGTTCTGAAGCAGCAGACAGCGCTCAAGATGAATTGAAGCTAGTCACACACACAGCGGGAGACACTGGCATGTTAGCGAGCATTATACGAACTATATCACCTGGTGACACTGTTACCAGTGTATTGGAAGGTGATGCTGAAACAACTGAGCCGGAGAGTCCCGGTGGTGGTGGTGATATTGCGAGCGATACCCCCGCAGGTGGTAGTATCATCAGCAACAATCCTGATGGTGAGAACGTTATATCAAACAAACCGACGGGTGATGGCAATATAACTAGCAGCAAGCCTGTCAGTGGTAATATCATCAGCAACAATCCGGTTGAGGGCAATGTTAACGCGAACAAGCTCGTGAGTGGTAGTGCTAATATCATAGGCATTAAACCTGCAGGTGGTAACATCATCGGCAATAGTCCTGCAGGTGGAAATGTTATTACAAAC